GCTTCATTTGGGACAATTTTCTTATTGTTTTATGAAGTAATTTTTTAGTACAAAAAAAAAATGTGCTAAAAAATTATTTCATAAAGTATTAAGAAAGTTGTCTCAAACGAAATCATAATGTTGATGAGGGCGAATGATTTGCAGTGTGACTAAAACATCAATTCATGGATGTTGATGAAGATTGACATCAAAAATATGTCATCGATTAATAGAACTTGGATAGCATAAGTAAATTAAAGAGGAACGATTGATGGTGCGAGTAGGACATCAGATTAGAGACGTTAGTAGATGAAGAGTCCGACAACATAATTGATGAACTCTAAAATGTTCCTAAAGTTTAAAACAAAGTTATTTTGTTTATTATAATATACATTTAAATCACTAGCATGCTAACTTCTACAACAATATCAAGCCTTTGTCTCACTACGTGGGGTTAGCAACATGAATCTTTTTTTTTTCTATTGTGTAATGTTAAAAGTTAAATCCTTATTTAAATTTAATAAAGAAATATTATTTCTAATATTTTATAATCAAATCTTTTTAGATCTATCTCTACATTTCTTAAAATAAGTCAAATATAATACCTCTACTTTCCTAATCGGGTCATCAGAAGGCCGTCGTTTTATGTGACCAAATCATCTAAGGCGACTCTCTCTAATCTTACCTTCCACAAGAGCTACTTCAACACTTTCACGTATATGCTCATTTCGTATCCTGTCTCAAAGGATAAATCCACTCATCCACCTGAGCATCCTCATCTCTGTAACACTTAACTTAGTATCATGCTTCTCTTTTAATAGCCAATATTCTACACTATAAAGCATTGCAAGTCTCACCAACATCTTATAGAATTTTTTCTAAGTTTAAGGGAGACTATTTATCATACAACAAGTCTGATGCATTCATTCACTTCAACAAAATTTGAATTTTGCTGATAATATCCTCATCTATTTCACCATCACTCTGAACAATACATTCAATATATCTAAAACGTGTACTTTTATTAATGACTTGATGTCACAATCCCCCACTAGATCTACTACTACTAAAATTAAAAAAAACATGCTAACTTCTAATAAACTAAAATAAAAAAAACAATAAACAAAACATAGCGGGCTTAACCAACAACCCTAATGAAGATAAATTAAAGAATCCGATGGCCACATGCCACAGTTTCATATAAGAAGAGCGAGGCCATTTTATACTGCACTCGCCACTGCTCTGTTCTGACTACCCACCCCACGACATTAGTACTTTAATGCCCCCAATCCCGTCCGCTTCTCTTCTCTCTCCTCTTCCCTTCCCGCCGGCGACCATGCAGCCGTTCCTCCGGCCATCTCTCCTGCCCATGGTTCTCCTTCTTCTCTCGCTGGTCCCGATCAGCGTCCCCCTCTCCGCGCCGGAACCGCAACCCCCAACAACGTCCGACCTCAGCATCACCGATCTTATGTCCAAAAAGGGCTGCAAGACCTTTGCCGAGCTCCTCCATTCCACCAGCGAGGCCGGCGATTCATTTGCTTCTAACGTCGGCAGCGGGATTACCGCCTTTTGCCCCACCGATCCCGTATTAAAGCCTTTTCTCCCTCGATTCAAGAACCTCACTGCCGACGGGAAGATCTCGCTACTCCTATACCACGCCATCCCAATCTACTACTCGATCCAGATGCTCAAATCCAACAATGGCATCGTGAACACCCTCGCCACAGACGGGACTACCAAGAACTACAACTTCATTATACAGAACGATGGCGACGTCGTGACCTTACAGACGAAGGTCACCACGGCGAAGATTACCGACACGCTTTTTGACCAGGATCCGGTGGCCATATACTCCATTGATGAGGTGCTCGAACCGACGGAGCTATTTAAGCCGGCGGAGGTGCCGGCTCCGGCGCCGGCGCCAGTGGAGGCTGCTGATTCGCCGAAAGCGGCTGAAAAGAACCGGACGCATGAGACACCACCAGCGGCGAGCCCGGGCGGGAAGGCGGAGGATCAGAAGGCGGCGGATAATAACAGAGCTACTGCTGCTGCCGGTAAGTCTGTTGTCGGCGGTGCTGCTGCGGTGGCTGCGCTTTTTGCTTTAGTTTTTGGTTAGGATTTTATATGTTTCTGTTCTCAGTTTTTTGCTGGTGAAATTGGTTTGGGAAAATAAGAGAGGAATGGGAGAAAATTTGTTATCATAGTGTGATATATTTTGTATTAGGATAAAATTATTTTATTGTTTGTGTTTTTAATTTTATGCTTCCCAGATTATTACTAAATTTAATTAAACTATTTGATAATATTATCAAATTTGAAAATATAAATATATTTAATGTGTGCTAAGAAATTCATCACAATATAGGTGTAATTTTCACATCTTTGCTTTGTATGAAAATCCAACAAAGATAAAAAAATGATTCAATTGACTTGACCTAGATGAAAATATATATATATATATATAAGTTTGCCACTTGCCCCCTGAGAATTTTTATACTTAAAAGTTTTTTTTTTTTTGGCGGAACCTGACGAGTCCACCCAGTGACATCGGGCATTCGGGCCCAAACTTAGTTTTGCCCCACCAACAACACTAAACCTCCGTAGATAAAAAAAGATTTTAATAAATAATAAAAAAAGTCATCTTAAATGAATTCATAATAAATAAATTTAAACACAATTAATATCTTGAGAATTGTGACCAGCTATATCTTGGGGATTGGAAATCGTCTGATTAGAGCTACTTCGGCTTCAATTCAAACACCAAAATAATCGAAATAGATCAATGGCTTATTTTATTGATATTTTGTGTTGAAGGAATCAATATATCTGCCAAATTCAAAAAGAATAATATATATATATATATACGAGAAGATGTTAGGCGATGGGCATTATGATTCGGTGCCCCTAATATTTAGATTCAGGTTTAGTTTGGTATAGTTTTTTTATTATTATTTTTTAAAAAACTTTCTAGTATAATTTTTTTTTGAACTTCAATTTTTGTAGTAGAAAATTGCTTTAGAAACTATTTAAAATGTTATCCCAAATAAAATATTAATGACTAAAGATTGGTACTTGAAAATTTTATAAATAGGACAAGGTTGTCGCTGCTTCGGCGTCAACCGGGGATATTAATATATAAATAAATTTTTTACAAAATTAAATTCTAGACCATCCAAACTCTAATTTCAACAAACGTATAGTCGAATTAAACATCTCAAGGACCGAAATCAGTATGATCCGAGATCAAATGGGTTCAAACAAAGGGACCAAAGCACATTTTGGAGGTTCAAACCATTAATTAGATGATCAAATGATATCTAAATATGACATGCTTATAGTTGAATCAAGTGACTCGACGAGACGAATCCAACGAGTCTAAGATCGCTCAATTCTAACATAATTAAGACACTTCAATAATTGAAAAATGCTCTATGATCGGGGGGATCAATATCAGCCATCCAATGGAGCACTATGAAACTGCCCTGGATATTTTCCATATTTACATGGTGTGCCACTCACGATAATCTATAAATAAACCCCCACTTTCTACATGAAGGGGAACCTATAGCTAGAATTGAGGTAAGCTCTGAGACTTCAAGAGCTCCAACACCATCGCTGGTGAACCTCTATTGACTGTCACCGAACCACCGCTCAGCCGACAATCGCCTATCGCCGTAGAACTTCCACCTAATCGCCAATTGTCGTCGGACCCCCGCCAGACCATCGACCTCCACCTGGCCGCCGACACCCGCCGCACTTCCACTTGGCCAACAATTGCCGCCCATCAGCCGGACTTTTGCCAAACCTATAATAACTAAAATATGTGAAATGAATTTTTTTAAAATATATAAAAAATCTGAAGTGGCGTGCTTTAGCGCTGATATGGTGAGCGCTGCGACGTGTATATATATATGCCTCACCTCACTGACTCCTTCACTTGGTTCTTTGCATCATATTTATCTGTCATTCATGTCATATGTTTTATTCTATTTATTGTAATTGAGTAATCTCTTACTTATGTTTTTTATTATTTTGATTTCTACAAATTTTATCTCTCCTAAACCTGCCAAAATGCATTATCTCCTTATTTCATAAGTTTTCACTATACAAATTTAGATATGTTATAGATTTGATTAATCTGAACGATTAGATATAATTTTATTGCATTTTAAATGAAGTGCTGAATAATATCAAATACATGATGAGATAACTCCACGTGATTCCCTACTAATCCACGTGATTCACTAATTGGGAGTCATAAGGAACTACAAATTGATTGAGAGTTATAAAAAGTTGGGGCAATTTATTGAGAGTCATTAGAGCGGAAGCAAGATACCCTTAAGATACACTCATTGAATATTCGAATATTGATACTAATAATGCATCAATATTATGACTGACACTAATATTGTTTACTATCATTAGCATTATTTAATGTTATTGATCATGATATTAATATTATTATTGAATTAGTACTGCTGACTGTTACTGATACTATGATTAATGATGCAATGAATTGAGATGTGACGAATTATAGAAGAATAAATTAATATGGATAATTAGTATAAATATTGATGCATATATTTTTTTTATATGATTTATAACATATTGTTCTCTTTTATCTTGCATTAATTTCAATTGTAAAATTTTAATTACTTGTTAGGTTATATACTCATTATGTAGTTTTACATATTATCATGAAAGAGTAAGGATCCTATGATATGATGTTCTGGAAAAGACAAAAATGCAATCATATTTCTTTATGTTGTTCATTGATAAACTCTAGTTAAATGGTTAAAATAAAAGATAGATGTAATTCTTCCAATATAAATCATGGAGTGTAACACGACTATTATCAGACCATCACATGACTACTAGCCGCTGCTGGACTTCCACCCGAGAGTCAAACATCTCCCAAATTTCATATTAGTCAAACCTTAAAATCAATTTCATTGCTACTTAAAAAGCTCTATTGGATGTATTTTCTTGCAATAATGACAATATATGAAATGCTCAAATGTGTGTATGCCATAACTTATCTAATAATTGCCTTCGGATCACCTCTAGTCTGCCAGATTTCTGCCCGATCGACATCAGACTTCCGTCCAACTCTCCAAACTATTGTAATTCTGCTGTCTTTATGTCAAGAGATGGGTCAACATTTATAATTCATTCAAATTTAATTAAATCTTTTCACCTGGGTGAGATCCCGTGGGTTTTCCCTCTTTGGATTTTCCACATAAAAATTTTATGGTATTTTTTTGCTCTTTGAATATACACTCATTCTACAAGCAGTGAATATTCTAGCCCGCAACATTTATCACTATCAGGATACAAAGAAAATTCAATATTTAAACAATTTTTTATACTATACATGCATTAAATGAATGTTTTAAGAAAAAAATTCTTCATTTTTATATAAAATAATGCTATCATACAAATAATATTGTGAGATTTTTACATATATAATACTTCAAACTATTATATTTACTTATCTAACACTCAAAGTATAATATTCACATTCATATCACCAAAATATATTTCGTTTCATCTAAGTTACCACTCCATCAAAACTCCGTAAATAGCCAAATCAGGGTGAGCAAAACTCCATGGTAACTGAGATAAAACGGGGTATATTTAAGTGGTAGATATGTAAATAGTATACTTTGAATATTACATAAGTAAATATAATAATTTGGAGTGTTGTGCACATTAAAATCCCTACTATTTTTATAAAAAAAAAAAATACAAGGCAGTGGCTTAACAGCCATCTAATTCTTTTGTTTGGGGCCCACCTGCTCGAAATAGTAGCTGGGTGGTCCCATGCACTCACATGGTAGGGTCAAAACAGTCAAAACATATCATTGTGTGATAAACTATAACTAACGTGACAGACCAATTATACAGCTTTTCAAACTTGAACAGTAAGTTTTCATTGGTTCCTCTCCATGCATGCAAATATTTAAGAATTTGAATTTCATAGATATTTATGAGAAATTTTGTAATAAATTCTTCATAATTGGATTTTTTAATTAAAAAAATTCTATAATTTTTGCGAAATTTTAAAACAATGCATCACATGACCTTACTCAAATCGACCGTTGGACTTATTATCAAATTTTTTAAGATTTTTTTGTAGATTTTATATATATATTTTTTAATTTGGTAGATGTGTCTTTATCATTTCTTTAAATTCTTGATGATGAAATCAAGATTTTTTATTTTTTTTTAATTTCCCTTTAAGAGCTTGAATGTATAAGATATATTCTTTGGGGAAATTTTTTAAAGGAAAATCATATAAATTAAAAGATGATAATGGTGATAATACTGTGGAGACCAAGTAAAAAAATTTAAAAGAAAATCTTCCCATGTTTTCCACCATTTTTCTTCTTTGAGAGTTTTAGTTTCAAGCTATTGTTAAGGAGAAGTTTTTTTTTTCCCTCACCATCTTCTAGATGATATTGATCTTTATTTTAACATAATTTTATTTGCTTTCCAGCAAATTTATAGATAACTATGTGAAGAACAATTTGGTCTTCATTTTAGACAAATTTTTTATTTCTAAAATAAATTTTTAGTACAAAAATATCTTGAACAAAAAATTTTGTATTAAATAAAATTTGTTTTGGGCGGGATTAGTTGGGTTGGTGGACGAACATGGATGAAAACTATTAGAATATCAAAACAGTTAAATATTGTATTTATTATATTCATGCTTACGTGTCATTACTTCATTAGATAGCAAGAAATGTATAGGTGTAAAACAGCTATATAAACCTATGTATCTATCTCCTAGCTATGACAAGAAATACATTTTATTACTTTTCTCTGTTCTCTGTTTTCGCATCTGCTTTTCTTTTCTCTGTTCTTCATCTTCTACAGAAACCCCCCAACCCAAGTTTGAATCCCCTCTCGTGCCACACGACCACTTAAATGGGGAGAAAATAATTGCAGGTTCTACTCCTATGGGATTAGTTTCTGGTCGGCTCGCCGAACGTTTAATTACACCGCTATGCTCCTCCTATGGGGATGGCAACTGGTAGATACCTCGTTTCAAAAAAAAAAAAAAAAAAATTTTAGGCTCAATTCTAACCTGTAGTAGAGTCTTGATAACTCCACAGGCAATAATATGATCAAAGCAAACAAACCCTTTTAAGTTCTGAAAGGAAGGTAGATGAATATGTTAGACCGGTCCAGCTAATAATCCCCAGAGGCGGAAATGTCCGCCTCCTGTATGCGCCGAACACAAGCCACAAGGATTAAGGAGCTGCTTTCGAAGGATTTTTTAGGGATTTCGGAGGGAAATTTGAATGTATTGAATGTTTAGAAATTTCCTTTTGAATTGTATGCATTAAATAGTTGATTTTCCTAGGGTTATGACATCTTGAATTTGGGTTGAATTTGAGATCTTTAGGTTTAGATTTTTTTTGGGTTCTAGCGGCATCTAGAGATTTGGGAGAGATTAATCCTCCTCTCGAATTGAGGATCAACTGTATCTTGCTATTTTCCGTTTCTATTACATCAAATAATATAAAATATCTACTGTTTGTATGATTTTGTGTGAAATTTTGTAGAGAATTCTCTCTGTTTTTCGAAGATTGATAGGAATTAGAAAATACTTGAGATCTACATATGTTTCCTATCAGAATCCTTCATCTCCCAGTTGGGCAAGGGAAAGTAAGCATGCTGTATGCATTTGAGGGATTGACAAAACAGAACTCTCCTTCTACCTCGCCAGAAAACTTCAGATTATTAAAAAGTGCTAAGCCATCTCTATAAAAGAAGACAAATTGTACATAGTTAAATGAAATACATTTACATGTAAGATTTTCATCAGCTTTGATTCCTTCTTATCCCTTCATGTTTTCTAACGAGAATAAAATAGAGACTTCTTAATGAAAAGTACCATCCAAGCAATTGAATCCATGGCATGGTACCATGGTGTAATTTTGTTCTGGAAATTGAAAGTATGTTATTGGTGCCAATGGGGAGTGGCAGCTAGGGGTGAAAATGATTCGAGTTGAGTCGTCGAGCTGAAGCAACACTCAGTTTGAATTTGAACTTAACAAATTAATCGAGTTCTAATTCGAGCTTGAGCTCAACTCTACTAATTTGGGTCGGCCCACAAGCTGGTTTATTCATTATGGCATAGATCAGTTGATTTAATTCAAGCAAATGTTGTGATAAAATGATAAAATAAGAAGTTGAATAAAAACAATGGAAATCACTTGGGCCAAGGAAGGCACATAATTTTTAAATAATTTTGACTTTGTTCTTAAGCCTTTGAATTCTAATATATTTTAAGCATATTTATACTATTATTGTATAAACAAACTCGCTCACACACTAGCAAGCTATGTTGAGGATGTCTCAAATTTTATTTGTTAGCTTGTCAATTTTAGCTCACGAGCCATTTATCCAATAGCACAAATTAGCTCACAAGTCGGCCCAACTCAATCAGAACCCGGTTATCACCATTGAACCACTTTGACACTCCTATTGGCACCATCGAACCACTTCGATTGGTAATTAGCAGCGCAGAGTAGTGGCGGGGCGGTGTTTTTGGCTAACTAGCCTAACTGTATCCTATAATGTATGGAGGAAGTTAGATGGAATAGTATGTGACATTTCTAAGTTGATGGATGCTCGTTTTGGTTTTGTAAATACTGTTGCCTAACATATAATTTCATCGTTATCATCATTTTGGTGAGTTTAAAGTACACCATCAGTACTTTAAATTTAAACTGAAAATCTTATGAAGGCATGAGATGACATACCTCGGTGACCTTACAAATAATTGCACAATTGACCAATGGTAAAATGAGCCTCGATAAAGAGATGAACACATCAGGAAGAGCGGCTGTTCAAGTACTCAGTATTAAGATAGAGAGAGCTCTGCCTATTAGAGAAGACTGACGTGATAGAAAGTGGTGAGAAGCCACTGAAGCCCTTCTCAAACCTCGCTAGCCCAACCTCAACGATGTATTTGAGAAGCTCGTGTTTGTGGACAATAGGTTGGGAAGCAAATTCTTCAATTGGCATCCACTGCGTTGCACAATAGAAAGAAAATTTTCAGTTTCACCTCACAAAATAATTGTGACAATGATAAATTCATCACTCAAATAATGCACCCGGCAGCTTTGATGAGAGTTTAACAAAATTTTTAAGAAAATAATAACCATTTTTGTTTTCACAGATTTTACATTTTACTCTAATAACTAGTCATACGGCATTCTGGTTGAAAGGAAATTCACCTGTCTTCTTATTCAAACTTAATCAGTTAATACAAACAGTTTACTCAGCAGCTTTGATGAGAGATTAACAAATTTTTAAGAAAATGATGAGACCACTTTTTTTTCCATGGTTTTTACTCTGATAACTAGTCCTTTTGCAATCAAGTTGAAAGGAAATGCTCTTATTTTCTTATTGAAACTTCATTAATCACCGATTATTTGTTAACGTCAATGAGGAACATCCCTTTTCATATAGCTAAACAATTTCTGGTTTAATTGGAAGTGGGAGCCTTCAATGATAGTAAAGCATACATTGTTAAACATTAATCGATTATCAGAACTTTATAGGAGACAATCCATCAGATCAAACTAAGTGATAAGTGATCCACTCTCTGAATAAATCAATAAAGGAATAATGCGAGACAGTAGTTCGAAATACTTCCAATAGTTCCTTTATTGTCTATGGCTTTCTTTATTTCCACTCAATGTCTATCAGTCATTCCCCACTACCTTTAGACCTATAAATGTCTATTGTTGCTATGCTATTTTGCATAAATCCAGGAGAGAAAAAAAAAAGCTAAAGGAATAATGCGAGACAGTAGTTCAAAATACTTCCAATAGTTCCTTTATTGTCTATGGCTTTCTTTATTTCCACTCAACGTCTAATTGTCTATCAGTCATTCCCCACTACCTTTAGGCCTATAAATGTCTATTGTTGCTATGCTATTTTGCATAAATCCAGGAGAGAAAAAAAAAAAGCCCACGCGTGACATTTCACAGATAAAGTGCAAACGCTAGAGATCATAACAGTACTTGATGAGAAGAAAAAGAGCTTGCATGTGAAATAAAGCGAACTTGAATATAGGATGAGGGCTTTCTTTTGTTCCTAAATTAATTTCTTTTAATTCATCAGTATTTGATTTCAAGCTACCTGGCATCCTCCATGTGCATTTTAGTTTTGAATTCCTTCAAGATTGCTATATATTTCTTGATAATTATAGACAAATCAACCAAATAGATGCATGTAAATCACGAAGACAATAACGTGTCTTTAGAATCAGGTACAATTTCATTACTTTGACTCACTATTTTGTTAGCAAACTAAGAAATATGATGGTGAAAAGAGAAGGAGCCGGACAAAAGGGTTTAAAAATTCATGGAAATTTGTTAGCAACTTAATGAGTGATGACTCGTCATTTCCAACCGGACAACTTGCTTGAATTCAACAAACCTATATCTAAAGCAAGTTGAACTAACAATCAAATAATCAGAATAAAATCAAGATATCAAAGTTTATTGCTGGTAGTTTTAGGATATGAAGAAATTCAGTGACAAATGAGAAACGTAAAAATCTTTTATGGTGGTTGTGATCATGGTGAAAACTTAAAGTTGAAGGACTCGAAAAAGGATAGAAAGAAAAAAAACAAAATGAAGAGATATGTCCCAGCTACCAAGCATTCCTCCTCCACCAAACTTGAAAGAGACCAAAGATGCATGATTGTATAGGAAAATCAAATTACCTGAGCTGCTTCAATTTCTGATTCTTGCTTTTGAATGTCAAATGAAAGAGGATTCATCAAGCACACGAAGAACAAATCAGACTTTTCAAAAAATGCCATATGGCTTTGCCTGTAAAACAATAATCATAACGTGAGCTATACAGTAAACAGTATATATATATATATATATATATATGCCGATATGCCGGTGCAATATTTGCAATGGGAAGCTTTCTTCTAGAGATGCACAAATGTGGTTTGGTCAAAATTTCAAACATTTAGATGCCATTCCAACGATACAATTTAGCCCAAGCCATGTGGATGCTCCACAATTAGCATGTGCTAAATACTAAAGAATATTTTCCTCTCTTATTCACCACATTTTGCATCTCATGAGATTAGAAGTGGAAGAAAACAACGTTTCCGAAATGAAAAGCAAAATTAGTGTTTTTTTTATATGAAAATGGGATGGAAACACACAATACTACAGGCAAGAGTTGGCTTTCTTTGAAAGGAACTTTCTACAACTGATCAAAACAAAACATTTTAACATAAGAGAACAGTATGCATTTGCGAGTAGATCAAACCTTCTGTTATAACTACTGGTTTAAAGATTTAGGCTTCGTTTAGAATAATTTTTTTACTGCTTTTTAAAGCAGCTTTCAAATAGAAAATTTATTTGTTTAAAATTTTTTTAGCTAAAAAACTACTTTAGAAAACAATAAGAAAGTTGTCCCAAACAAAACCTTTGTTACAAAGAAGTTAACAGATGATGTCAGAATTAACAGTCAATTGCAAATTAAAACATTTAGCAGCAACAATAGCAATAGCAACATCCTTCTCCCAATTATTCGTGCCTAAATTGATTCTCCTACTCATGAAGTTCCTCATCCCCCCCCCCTCCCTCCTATTAGTTTCTTAGATGATCATGAATAGGGGGTGCAACCAAGTCATGCCGGCTCGGACTTGACGAGTCAAGCTTATGGAGCTCGCAAGTTGAGATCGAATAGGATTTCAAAATCGACGGCCTTATCGAGCTCGAGTTCAAATAGCCCTCCGCTCGACTAGATTACTTGTTGAGCAGCTCACGGAACTAAATGTCGGAATCGCAGTGGGACACGAAGGTGGAATTGAACATCGAGATCACACACGGGAAGATGGATCGCACCGTGGGCAGGACGGAAGACGATTCGCACAATCGTAAGTGGGGGAAGCGGGCGGGCGGGACGAAAGGCGGGAAGGCAGGCGGGAAAACGAAATCGTGGGCGGGAAAAAAAAGCTCAAACGTGGGAACGAGAGCAGCTCGACGAGCTCGTATTCACCTAGCCAGTCAAGCTCGAGTTCGAGCTCGGTATTTGGCTCTCAAGTTGATCTCGAACAAGGCCGGACTCGAGCTCGATTCAACTCGTTTGCACCCCTAATCAAGATTCACAATATTCTCTTAATTCTGATGAGAGCATGTTGACCTCTACATGTCCTCCACAATTCAACTCGATCAAACGTGACGATGATAAAGAAAGCTTGACTAGATTTCACGAGCGATGGACTCAAAATTAAAAAGAAAAAACTCTCAACAAAAAATACATATTACTTATTTCACATAATAAATAGTTTCCTTGAGTCCATAATATCAATATAGTTCAAGAGGAGGCTTACATATTATTTGGATTGGGTATCCTTGGATTCGTCGGATTATCGGGTTGACCCGACCGACCCAAAACCCCGGAATATTGGGCGTGGAAGGTAGGCGCAACTCGCAAGCACAAAGAGCGTGATGGTGAGCACGTCGAATGAAGGGGTTGAGCGTTGGTGCTGGTCCGAGTGCGTCTGTTTGATTGAAAAATATAGTTTTGAAAAGTATTAATTTTCTTTGGGAAAGTTAAAAAGTTGAATTTTAGTTTTGGAATCAAACACGACATTAAGAATGATATACCATCTCAAAAGGAGAGAATATCACTCACTAATTAGTTCAGATTACAAAACTTTAACTTTATCCTTACTATCGTAGTCAAACTCAAGATAGAATCACATTTTACCCCAAAGAATCAAAATGGAATTTAATCGAGTGTTTGACTATGCTAATATGGATTAAAGATCATTAATTTCTTAATCAAAATCACGATAATAATTGGTATATCTCTCCAAAGAAAAAGATATCAATCATTATCGATCGTTTAAAAATGATGATAATGATCGTCGGGTTTGATTATCCCCAAATAGAATTAATTGAGGTTTTGAAAAATTGATTTTGAAAATCAGGTCTGAGTTACTAAATCTCCTACGAGCGCAAGCCCTCGTAGTTAATTACATCGTAGGAAATAGAATTTTCCTACGAATACTCTCGATTAAAATAGCGGTAGAAATTTCATTTAAGATTTTCAAAGCTGGATATCAAATGAGGTAAAGGTTGGAATTTTTAATTGGGATTGGTTTAAAATTGAAGACTTATTTCTGGAATCAAAGGAAGAAGGGTAGGAGGTGTTTTAGGATTCTGAATTACTTCAGAAACACCTCAACCTATCCTACGTGTTGGGCTCGAATTTGATTGAAAGTGATTTAATGTTTAAGTGATCAATTTTATTAGAAAATTGGGATTCAATTCCCGGAGGGTGAGGTCTTATGACCCAAGCCAGCCTTGGAACCTAAGTCTAAATTGGGTACTGAAAAGTGACCCGAACCTAGTTAATGCAGTGCAAATCTGGTCTTACCCCGGCCTGGATTGGGGAGCCAGCTAAACCACCTAAACGATTTAAAAATATATATCCAGTCTTTTAATATTGAGTGGTAGGGACATTATTTAGAAAAGTTTAAAGGAATGGGGTTGACATCTATAGCAGATCCTTATTGACCCCTTAACTTATGTCGAGTATTTGATGTCTAAATAAATGCAATTAAAGTTTTAGAGACTTTTAAATTTGTTGCTAACGTGATGCATGCTAATTGACTCGATTAAAGGCTTGAATTTGAATGGAGGCTATGCAATGAGAACTCCCAGCGGTCCCGGGCTTACTTCTTAAAACGTTAGAGTTTCTATGTGAGCTTAAATATTTTAATTTGATTTAAGTAAAAAAAGTATTATTAAGTCCTTAAGAGTCTACAACCGGATTCCAGGCTAAAACAAAGATCGACATGCAAGATCGTCAAAAAACTAAAAAAAAGCAGGCATATCCTAATCGCAGTCAACATCAAACATTAATAAATAAATCAATTAAATTAATAGCTTAAATTGAATGTCCATGTGGCAAGTGCCACTTATTATTACAAACCAGGATTTGCAGAAAAGTAAAGTGGCCGGGCACCACTGACGACAACCCGGATTCTACTCCTAAGACTTAAGTGACTTTGAGAATGGGTCTTCTCGTTATCCACTTCTTCGTCCCTCTGCTGCTTCTTGGATAGTCGGGTCCGGATATCCAAATGAAAAGTAACACCCCCTTGAACGGGGTGTTATCTTTCCTCTTTGGATATTTTAAAGTTATCCTAATTTAGAACTCTAAATGGAGAGAGACTCTCCCCTAAGGGATGTCCCTTCCTCTTTGGATTCCAAATTGGATATCTAATCCCATTCTCAAAGCACTTTAAACATTACAACCATGATATAATCAAATTACATTTTGAAAAATAGAATTCTAGACTCGATCCTGCAGAGTTATCCTAATAATCAGCAGTTATATAAATAATCACAAGCAGTTATAATTGATCTCAAGCAGTTGATATATTTGAAATTTAAATGCTCAACAGAGTGCAGTAAATAAATAAACAGACAGTCAATCAATTCTATGCTAAAAATCAGCATGCAGTGAAAGCTCGAAAACCCGACACAGCGAAAAAGTAAACATCGGCCTAGCCTAAAACTAGAGTTGGTTGTCCTAGCAAACCATCTAAAGTGTGTGAGGTAAGCCATGTGGTTTGGATATGTCCTATGTAGGACAAATTGTTAAAGTTGTTTGACGTTCTGATTGGTTGAAAGGCTTAAGGGAAGATTTAAATTTGAGTTTAAGTATTAATGATTTGATATTTATTTTAAATTTGATTAATGATTTTTGGAGTTTTACAGTGATTTTTGAGTTTTGAGAATTTCTGAATTATTTTAATCATTTAAATAAGGGGTCAAAAGTTGACTTTTTGATTAAGAATGTTTTTTAGAAAATTAGCATTTTATTTAAAAACTAGACCTTAATACGATCAGTTAGACTATAAGTACGTTAAAATTGGATTTTTCTGGATTTAGTTACGAAGGTTTGAAGTTTTGAACTGATTTTGACTTAGGTTTGACCAAAAAGTTAACTTTTTGACTTTGACTTATTTTTTAAGGTTTGAAATTTTTGATAAATACTAGACTTGATTTTGAGTTGAATGTCATCGAGTTTGGTCAATTTGGAGTTTTTTAGAGTTAGTTATGATTTTTCAAAGTTTTCTATTTATTGAATTTATTTAATTGTACAATTAGAAGGGTTTTCTTGATTTTGCTCCAAATGAACTCCAAACTCCTTGAAATCAACTCCAAACGTCAGGAATGACCTAAGATGAGATTCCCAAGTGTTTTTGAAATTTTTTAGAATTTTAAATATTTTTAATTAATTAAATTAATTAAATATTAAATTAAAGCCAGATTTGATGTCAAATTGAGTTAGTTTAAATTTTCATTGATTAAAGGTTTAATTCTGGTCAGTTAGAGGGGTTTTTTATATTTTTTGGATTTAAACTTGATTTATTATAATTTGTAGAAGTTTTAATACTTAATTAAGGGGTTAATTTTGACTTGTTTAATTTTTTGACTTAATTAGCTCCAAATTGGATGAAATTTTAAACTAGGGTTTATAATGTCACTAGGTTTAGTGTTATAGAGTTTCACCCCTATTGGGTGTATGTAGAATTTCCTAAAATTTTTCTAATTTAACTAGACCTTGTCCTTAATTATTGTTCCTAGGTGGCACTAGTATTCAATTGGGTCTAAATCTCTGTTCATCTAACCCTTAGACATACACAAACACACCACAGAAATTAGGAAGCCTAAATCTACTAGTTTGGAGAGTTATGAATTTCCAAAGTTTTGGGTCCAAAATGGACCCAATACTTTGTAAATTCTCCCCACAGCAATCCACTGGATATCTGGACCTAGAAAAATTA